GGCCATGGCTTATTTTAGCAAAGGCTTTGAATAGGCTGAAATGGACCCATATGAAGTTGACACTCTGGCACGTTAGTTGTGAAATGATAGCAGCTTGTTTTAATTACAGACGCTCCGCATTTTTAAATTTTGTTATTTTATTTTATGTGTTGATAGTGGTTGATTTTATCATTTTTATGTGATATTATTTTATGCTTATGTACTGTTTGTTATATACTGCACTTTGTGTGCCTTGTAAGCTGCCCCGAGTCCCTTTTGGGAGATGTTGTGGGATATAAATAAGGATTATTATTATTATTATCCATCTTCCCTACTATGCTGGTGCTTCTACCTATTAGGAAAATACTTCATTTGGTCACAATAAAGTACAGTATTTGTGAGAGAAAATTCTAGCACTGCTTTTTACAAAACTTTTGTTGTCAATGGTATTTGCTCATGGCGAAAGTCTCGGTTAGACTCCCAATGAAAAGTGAGTTTTCAGATAACAGTTCTTCTCTGTATGTAGACCAATAGACCAAATAGAGTGAGATAAATGGGCCTGTGTTTATAATGGGAAAATAGCATAGAAGGATAGTATTTCAAAGAAACATGATCTCTCAGAGCCACTAGAAATTTGGAGGGAACTACAACTCCCATAATCCCATCAAGACCATTGGATAAGATGGCTGGAGGGTTCTATGAAGTTTAATAAACAATATAACCTGAGTTCTCTGCCATTTAACTAAAAGTTGAAATGGCAAGTTAGCCATTTGTGACCTTCCTGAATTTTATGAATATGATCCTCCATGCTATGCAGAACAGGGTAGTTACACTAGAAAAGGAAAACATTCCTGTTGGTTGAGGCTCCATTAACATGATCGCCACTGATAGAAGGAATAACACATAAACATGTTAACACATTTTTTTCTGTGTCAGGAGCTACTTGAGAAACTACAAGTAGCTTCTGGTGTGAGAGAATTGGCAGTCTGCAAGGATGTTGCCCAGGGGACGCCTGGATGTTTGATGTTTTACCATCCTTGTGGGAGGCTTCTCTCATATCCCCGCATGGGGAGTTGGAGCTGACAGAGGGAGCTCAATCTGCTTTCCCTGAATTTGAACAGGTTGAGCTCCCTAATATCTAATATTTGCTAGGAAATACCAGGAAGGAACATAAATCAATATATCAGCACTTTCTTGCTTACCTTTGAATTTCCCACATTATTGTATCTTATCCTTACTATATTTTTGTAATCTATGTATGTTTTGAACATGTTTATGAAGAGAGGATACCTTAACATAATGCATAAAGAGTTCAATTCATACAAATTAAATACACATCTCTCACAATTTCCACCTGAAAGAAACTGCATACCACTGTGAATTATGATTTTTTATTATTCAATTTATTTTTAAATGATACATTTTCTGTATGCATTAAAGATAAAAATTTAACAATTCTATTTTATTTGGGCAGGAGGGGAGATGAGTCGATGTAAAGCTACATTAAAAACATGGAACACATCCTGACAGGCCTAAAAGGAAAATGAAGAGTCATCAATACATTTTAGGACATGTTCCCATCCAAAATTGATCCAGGTTCTCTGCTACATGAAAGATCCATTGGAAGCCTTGAACTCACATCTGTTCTCACCTTCTGCTTTTGGACATAGTTGAGTACAAACTGCTAACATTCACTTTCAATGCTGAATGAACATTTTCCCTGTGATGTTTAAACTCAAAGAACTATGGTCTCTTTAAAGTAAACTACAATCAACCCTCCACATTAATTGGGGCTAGGGCCTCTGTGCAGTCAAAAACTGCAAACAAATTGATTGCATAGTTAAGACTTTGTGTGTGTGTGTGTGTCTGGAGCAACTTGAGAAACTGCAAGTCGCTTCTAGTATGAGAGAACTGGCTGTCTGCAATGATGTTGCCGAGGGGATCCCCAGATATTTTTGATGTTTTACCATCCTTGTGGGAGATTTCTCTCATATTCCAGCATGGGGAGCTGGAGCTGACAGAGGGAGCTCATTTGCATGCTCCCCGGATTCGAACCTCTGACCTGTCAGTCGTTAGTCCTGCTGGCACAAGGGTCTAACCCGTTGTGCCACCGGGGGCTCCTATAGTCAAGACTAACAAGCCACAATGGTTTCACTTTAGTTTTGTCTTAACTAGAGTTTAAACAAAATACTCCTCCCTGAGGGGCCCTGTGGTGGCGCAATGGGTCAAACCACTGAGCTGCTGAACTTGCTGACCGAAAAGTTGGCGCTTCGAATCCAGGAAGTGGGGTGAGCTCCCAGTTAGGCGTAGTTTCTGCCAACCTAGCAATTTGAAAACATGCAAGCTTGAGTATATCAATAGGTACCGCTTTTGCGGGAAGGTAACAGCGCTCCATGCGGTCATGCTGGCCACATGACCTTGGAGGTGTCTACAGACAATGCTGGCTCTTCAGCTTAGGAATGGAGATAAGCACCACCCACCAGGGTCAGACTCGACTAGATTTAATGTCACGGGAAACCTTTACCTTTTTACTCCTCCCTGAATTCTGACACCACAAGGAACTGTGGTTAGTTTTAAAGTGAAACCAGATGTTTCCTTTCTCTTTCTCATAAAAGGGGAAAAAGGAAGAAACAGAGGGAGAGCCAGTCTGACCAAGGTTCCCCATGGCTTGCTCATAAAGCCAACAAGAAACCATTGATTCCCTATTACCTCTGAACCCACGACCAAGTTGCAACATAAGACAATCACTGAACAATTCCAAAGGCCACTTTAAAGTCAAAGGGACTTTATACAAAAGATGATATACAAAAGAAAAAAAGGAGACATTAACCTAAAGCTCTTGCATTCACACTGATGTCAGGATTCAAAAAAAGTCTGCTTCGCCTACATGTGTCCTTGTCTTATAATTCAGAATCTGCATTACTGTAATTAGAACAGGGATTCATACAGACAGGTATTGCGATAGATAACATTCTGCAACATATCAGACTCTTCCCCAGTTTAATCTATCACAAAAGGAAACCGTTTTGCTGTCATTTGTTTTCTTCGAGTGGTGTGAAAAAGGATTTAAGTCACTAAAATATATCCAGCACGTCCAACCACTGTTCATTTTGTCCAAGGTGACATGGAAAACCATACAAACTTGAACAAAGCTTATAGTCTAAGCAGCTACTACCCCTGGCAGGCTGCAATTTCCATCACTTTTTAAACATTTTAATTGCTATGTGAGAATTGGCAGAAAAGCCTTCCAGTATATTATGAATCTGGGCCAACTGACATGGCCATGTAATTAAACACTGCAATGCCATACATATTGGCGTGCAAGAAATTTCCATCACCTTCGGTGGGTGGAATTCTTAGGCTTAAATCCAATTGCTGGTCTCAACTGGAGTAGAGTCACCCAATCAGCTGCTGAATGAGAAGTCAATGGGTATGCAAATATCACAGATTCCATAATTTTCTTACAGTTGAGACCAGCAACTGGATTTAGGCTTCAGTTGAGGAAAACCTGTCAGTTCCACTTTCTAAGGCATTGAAATGTTGAAATTCTAATTAAAAAACTAATTGAAATAAACATTCTCATCCACTCCTGCTTTAATGTTTATGACTGACGAGCCTTATAAATTCCATTTTGACTTGCAATCAGCCCTCCACTTTTGTGGGTTTAACTAAGGCAGGGGCAAACTTGGGCCCTCCAGGTGTTTTGGACTCCAACTCCCACCATTCCTAACAGCCTCAGGACCCTTCCTTTTCCCCCTCAGCCGCTTAAGTTTGCCAACACCTCATTCAACTTCTGCAGGGTTGATTAGTATGTTCTCACTAGGAATCTTTAAGTCCTCCACTGCGACTCTATGGTCAACTTCAATAGAGATACTCTGGAAGACCTAGATTCTTAGATACCTGGTCCTAGACAAAATAGTGGATTTTTAAAAAAAACGTTTTAACACTTTCCTGCCCCCAATTCTTGCAAAAGTAGAGTGCCTACTGCAGTGCTTCTCAACTTGTGGTTCCCCAGGAATTTTGGCCTACAACTCTCAGAAATTCCAGCCAGCTTACCAGCTGTTAGGATTCCTGGGGAAAATGGAACAGGGAAAATGGAAGGAAAAAGGAAGAGGGGCCGACCAAGGGCAAGATGGATGGATGGTATCCTTGATGTGACTGGTTGACTCTGAAGGAGCTTGGGGTGGTGACGGTCGACAGGGGGCTCTGGCATGGGCTGGTCCATGAGGTCATGAAGAGTCAGAAGTGACTGAACAAATAAAGAACAAACAGGATTCCTGGGAGTTGAAGGCCCAAACATCTGGAGACCTTCAAGTTGAGAACCACTGGCCTACTGTATACTGACAAGTATTGAAATAACCCATTGAGATGCATAACTGTGTGGCCCTTGACTATGGAAAGAAAGCTAATGTAATTAGATGGAAAATAATCATGACAACATGGACCAGCTTCTACAATCTGGTACATGCCAAATGTTTTGGATTACAAGTATCATCATCCTTGACTACTGGCGAAGGCAGATCAGCACCAAGTGGTAAGGAGGCTGGTATTACTCAGCGATCTGGAGCCTTCTTTTAAGAAGTAGAAAATAATATCCTTTATAAACGTATTAAAAAGTGAACTGCTGTGGAATCTCTATAAATTGTACAGCAGCCCCGTTGCTATTCAAAATATCATTTTATTTTCTGCAAAGTCATCAGGCATACAAGAGGGATCAGTCAGTCAGGGATCCATAAAGATACAGTTATGTAAGCAGCTCACTGGACTAAAACATCCCTAAACTGCGCACTAAGGAGGCACATCACCCTAAGAGTTGTACGTTGACTTTGTGTGCAGATTCTGCTAATTCACCAATACTACGGATGTTTCTGGAATGCGCCAAATCATTTTCAAAGACCATGTGGGGTAAAGCTGGCTTGCAAACCAAGTCCCATGAGGCACACGATAACTAAAATCCACCTGCAGAGCTCCATTCCTCCAGAGTCCTCCATTGTATCCATACAGCTTCCTTAACAGAGGCATTTTTCTAGCTCCTTCTTCTACAAACAGCCTTTGCTTTTAATATACCTTTGAACGTCACAAGAAAGCGAACTAGTCATTCTTGACAAGAGGCAACTCTGATTCAAGCAGTGAAACTCCTCAGCCTGACAAACAGAACAGGGTTGTTTTGGGTTGTTGTTGGTTTTTTTGCCCCAACCTCCATATAAACCGTTGGCTTTAGCAGCAGATATAGTTGTAGGGTATCGTCTTTGCACTCTGGAATACAGATATTGAGCTAATGTAGCTCTTGGTATCAGACTGCCATCTTTTCAGAAATTATTTTCCTTTTGAGGCCTCTGCAAAATCCACTATACAAAACAGCAGTACTTTTTCCACCAAGATTTGGAAAGGTTTTTCATTTTGTCCGGAGTCCTGCTTTTAGATTTCTTTGGCTGTTGCTGGCTATCCGAATACTGAATGCCGGCAACAATGGCTGCGTCAAAGACTTCTTTGAGGTTTTTCTGAGTCAGAGCGGAGCACTCAATGTAAGAGGTGGCTTTTATTTCCTCAGCACAGAGCCTGGCGGCCTCCTCTGCCACAGGCTTCTCTTTGCATTTGTCCAGCTCAATGAGGACTTTAACATCCTCCCGGAGGTCCGACTGGGTCCCCACGAGAATAATCGGTGCTTTGGGGCAGTGGCGGCGGATTTCAGGCACCCACTTTTCACTCACATTCTGGAAAGAGGAAGGACTCACAACGCTGAAGCACAGCAAAAAGATGTCTGTGTTGGTGTAGCAGAGTGGCCGGAGTTTGTCAAATTCATCCTGCACAAAAGGAAAAAGCAACATGAATTCAGAGAGACAGTTTGCTCAGCAACAAGAGCGCCATCAACGCTCCACAATGCAGAACATGGGATAAACCGTCCAGCTCGTCAAATTTGAAGGAATTATCATGTTAACTCATGGTCTCTTGCTTCCTGCAAAGGACTGGATAGCAAAATATATCAGATTTATTTTTGAGGCAGCAAGCTGATACACCATAGCTATTCCTAAACAACCCCTAAATTGAACTTCCCACCCTGACAGGCAAGCTTTGCAAAGGAAAGAGGAATCATGATGTGCCAAGCATGAGACCCACTTCCTGCGTGATTGGCACAATCCCAGAAGGACCAGCCAGCATGATTCTGCTGAGCATACAGCTTAGCCATACAGAAGGAATACTGGAATGCAGCATTAGGTGCTGTGCACAAACAGGAACTGGCTCAAGAAAATTGCTTTTTTACATTGTAACTTGCACAATGGCAATTCTCAAATATTAGTATTGGGTCGAATTTGACTTAGTATTTTCATTAATGATACTGGAGAGGAAGCAGGAGTATGCTGGTGTAGTCTACATGTGATAAGCAAACTTAGAAAAGGTAATATAAATATGTAAAGAACTAAGGAACATGCAGGATGAATTGCACAGAATCCAGGAGAGTCTGTTTCCAACACTGAGACATAAACTGGCGAATGAATCATTTAGCCTGATACTTTGATGGAAATAATTCATTGATTAAACCGATTGGGTCCCTGATAACTACAAGGGTTTTGTTTCAGGACACACACATATAGGGACACATACCAAAATATCTGGATGCTCAAATCCCATTATTTTCAATGGCACAGTAAAATGGTACCCTTTATATAAAATGGCAAAATCAAAATGTGCTTTTTGAATTTTTGGGGGGAGGGGTATTTTCAAATGTGGATGAAGAATCCATAGATATGAAATCCATAGAAACATGGATACAGAGGGCTGATTTATTAAGCATGTTTTGGATCCCAGGACAGATAGTTGGGGTTGTAGTCAAGAAGAACAAAAGAATAATAGAAATAAAACCGAAGTATTTTGATAACGTGAGAGGTACACATTCTGCAGATTTGGGGTTGGAAAATTGGAAACTAAGCACTAGTGTTGGGATCCATGGAGTGCAAGCCTTTGCTAGGACAGTCTCTATAGCAATACTCCTGAGACAGTCCAAAGGTGAGGTGGCTATGTTGATCCTTAAGTATTTCTAGCTTTTTTTCTTTATCTATCTACCAAGTTTTTTTTAAAAAGCCATTTCCAAATACTTCAGATTACACAAATAACAATATCATAGGCCAGTGTTTCTCAACCTGTGGGTCCCCAGATGTTTTGACCTTCAGCTCCCAGAAATTCTAACAGTTGGTAAACTGGCTGGGATTTCTGGGAGTTGTAAGCCAAAACACCTGGGGACCCACAGGTTAAGAACCACTGCCTGAGAGGAAACAGGAGAGTAGAAGAGAGATGGCAAGTGATGCCATATTCCCTGAAAAAAAAAGAATTTACAAGCCTTAATTTCCCTAAAGCACTGTTGTCAAGTAGGGAATGCTGGTCTAGACCTCCTCTACATTGTATCTTAATTTTGGGAGATACCCAATGTCACTCTGTGGTCTGGAACATTTGTTTATTTTCTGCTCTTTGAAAATCTGCTCATGACCTGGAGTCTTTGCACTGTGATTCCACTGGGCTGATTTGTGACAGACTGGTGAATGAATGGCCTGTTTTCAAAGGGGACGAGGCAGAGGCCGAGAGCACCTTTTGACCTCCTTCACTCTAGCCAAGGCAGCTCAAGACTTGTTTATCGATGTGGCTTGTTGACTTTGTGGGTACAAAAAGGTCACGCTTTTGCATGATCAACAGCATCAGTGGAGATTTTATACTAAATCTAGACAAACCTTCTCATAGCAAGTAAAGAAAAAAAATCTAGCATAAAGCAAAGATACATAATTACTTGTGGGCGCAGCTATACTGGGGAATTAATGCAGTTCGACACCATTTTACCTGCCACGATTCAATGCTATGGAATCCCAGGATTTGTAGTTTGATGAGGCATCAGTCCTCTTTGGCAAAGAAGGCCAAAGATCTTGTAAAACTACAACTCCCATGATGCTAAAGCTGTTATTCTCAACCTTCCTAATGCCACATCATCTTAATAGAGTTCCTCAAGTTGTGGTGACCCCCAACCCGAAAATTATTTTTCATTGCTACTTCATAACTGTAATTTTGCTACTGTTATGAAACATCTACTGTAAACATCTGATATGCAGGATGCATTTTCATTCACTAAACCAAATTTGGCACAAATAACAAATACAGTCACATTTTAATACTGGTGGGATTGATTTTGTTATTTGAGAGTTGTAGTTGCTGGGATTTAAAGATCACCTACAATCAAAGAGCATTCTGAACTCCACCAATGATGGAATTGAACCAAACTTGGCACACAGAACTTCCTTAATCAAGAGAAAATACTGGAAGGGTTTGGTGGGCATTGACCTTGAGTTTTGGAGTTGTAGTTCACCTACATCCAGAGAGCACTGTGGATTCAAAAAATGATGGAGCTGGCACAAATATTCAAACTTGGCACAAATATTCAATATGCCCAAATGTGAACACTGATGGAGTTTGGGGAAAATAGACCTTGACATTTGGGAGTTATTGTTACTGGGATTTATAGTTCACCTACAATTAAAGAACATTCTGAACCCTACCAATGATAGAATTGGGCCAAACTTCCTACACGGAACCCCCATGACAAACAGAAAATGTTTTCTGATGGTCTTTGGTGACCCTTCTGACATCTCCTTGCAATCCGTTCAGGGGTCCCGATCCCCTAGTTAAGAAATGCTGCTGTAAAACTACAATTCCCATGATTCTATGGCATTTACAGTGATGTCAAACTGCACTAATTCTACAGTGCCGATGTGCCCAGTAGTGTTGGAAGAAACCAGATTAATACAGTTGAGTTTGCAGTTTTAGATTCATATTTATTATTTCCACATCTATCTATCTATCTATCTATCTATCTATCTATCTATCTATCTATCTAATTTGTGTCAGGAGCGACTTGAGAAACTGCAAATTGCTTGTGGTGTGAGAAAATTGTCCCTCTGCAAGGACGTTGCCCAGGACACACGCAGATGTTTGCATGTTTAATAATAATAATAATAATAATAATACTTTATTTATACCCCGCCACCATCTCCCCCAGGGGACTTGGGGTGGCTTACATGAGCCCAAGCCCAATAACACATCAGTAAAACAACAAAGCAGTAAGCAATTAAACAATACCATTAATATAACTCACATATAAACAGTAATACACAAAAATTTAAAAACCTTAAGGCTGGGCCAGATGTAATAGATTAAAATTTTAAAATAAACACTGGGCGTGACCAGAGGTAGGATGTATCTAAGCAGGAGGGTTTTAAAGGATAATGTAGGGAGAGCAACCCAGCGGGTAGTTAAAGTGCTTCTGAGGACATTTTGCAGGGAATTGGTCAGAGCAGGACATTACCACCCTTGTGGGAGGCTTCTCTCATGTCCCAGCATGGGGAGCTGGAGCTGACAGAGGAAGCTCATCCACACGCTCCCATTATTCGAACCTCCGACCTGTCTGTCTTCAGTCCTGCCAGCACCTACGGTTCCTTCCAACTCCAATTTCAGACTTCTTTGATTGCCATGAATAAAGGACATTTTATGTCCCCTGCCCCCTGTCCTGCTTCTTCCTGACTCAACCTTGTCACTGATAACTCTTTCTGCAGATCAATACCCCACCTCCTTGTTTGTGGATTCAACCTACTATTCCAGGAAAGAAGGCTATCTAACAACAAAAAGGAAATTTACAACACAGCGCCCTTAAAGACCATGAGAGATTTCCCAAGAACTGCAGGTGAGGAAAGAAAATGGAGGCAAAGATTAACACCTTGCTTTCATGCTGACAGGAGAATCAAAACACAGCAGTCACTGCCTCAAAACAAAAAGCCAAACAAAACAAGATTTAGTTCTGCTGTGGTGGCATTTTAATTAAAATTCAGCATGTTCCTCAGAAGGTCTCAAATTAACAACTGCAAGGAGAAAGCACAAACTGAAATGTCCCTTATTGCCAAACTAGCACTTGCATGTTAATTTCGGGCAAAGGGTTTGAGATCCTGATTTGAAAGCTCCTGAATAAGCCGCTCTATGGCACACACAGTTCAAGGAATTACTCCCGGGCCCCCTTTCCACTTGAATACATTTCTTTTCAGGGGCACTGGCAAAGGGAAGCAGAGGTTTAGGGGAAAAAAAACAAGAGTCGGGGAAAGCAGGGTTCATTAGCTCACTTGCTTTACAACCTTAAGTCCCTCCGGATGCAAGCAAGAGCCAAAGAGCCCTGACCCTGGCCCAAGAAGGCAGGGCGAGAACCAGAGCAAGCTGTACCACCACACTGCAGCTGTGTGCTTCTTCTGCAAGGGCTGGCATTGCAAATATTTGCCCAGTTAAAGAGCACACAACCCCACTGCCAAAGGGAACAATCGATTCTACGATTGATGATGTCATGCCATTAAATAGTGGACTTTTTTTGGGTCAATGAGGCAAGAGGTGAATCATACAGGTGAAATTGCAAGACTCTAATAGAGTCTACACCAGGCATGGGCAAACTTTGGCCCTCCAGGTGTTTTGGACTTCAACTCCCACAATTCCTAACAGCCGGTAGGCTGTTAGGAATTGTGGGAGTTGAAGTCCAAAACACCTGGAGGGCCAAAGTTTGCCCATGCCTGGTGTAGACTGCATCACAACTGCATTGCAACCAAATGTGCTGTCACTACAGTCATCACAAAGTTCAGAGTCCAGACTGAGGAAACAGTCTGCTAAATTTGCATGGTGTGGCTAATATACTTGCATTACTCTGGTGCTAAAGGAGCTGCTGCATTGCTCCTACCCTTGCCTCTGGGTTAATTGAGATGACCACACAGAAGCCTTTCCCAGTATATGCAAGGTGATCTTGAAACAACTGTTTACAGCAAATATGGGAAGGTTTCCTGCTGCATCCTAAGTTTCTCATACCACTTTGGGAAATGGCCCAGGAAGGAACACTGAAAGCTCAGGTATAATTCCAGAAGCCTTTAGTTCCAGGACTGGGTTGTGACGCAGTTAGCTGGGAGCCAGCTGCATGAAATCACTACTGACTGAGAAGTCATCAGTTCAAAGCCAGTCTGGGTCAGAGTGAGCTTCCGACCATTACACTAGCTTACTGTCGACCTCTGCAGCCCAAAAGACAGTTGCATCTGTCAAGTAGGAAACTTAGGTGCCGCTTTATGCAGGGAGGCTAATTTAGCTAATTTACAATGCCATAAAACCTTCCTGCAGCATGCAGAAGAATGAAGAAGTACTCCATCAAAGGACCAGGTGTTGCAAATGGATGGTGAAGCGGCAGTTACCCTTGTGGCCAGAATCGAGCATACCCTCATGAAGCCGGAAAAAGCTGGAATGTTAAATTGCCTCTGCGTCTTGTCTATATATACATGTTGTATGTCTAATTAGCATTTAATGTTAATCCACCCTGAGTCCCTAGTGGGGTGAGAAGGGTGGAATATAAATACTGTAAATAAATAAATAACAATATTTTTGTTTTCGTGTCAGGAGCGACTTGACAAACTGCAAGTCGCTTCTGGTGTGAGAGAATCGGCTGTCTGCAGGGACGTTGCCCAGGAGAAACCTGGATAATTTACCATCCTGTGGGAGGTATGCATGAGAAGCTGGAGCTGAAAGACAGGACCTCACCCCAATCCCTGGATTCAAATTGCTGATATTTCAGTCAGCAGTTCAGCCAGCACAAGGGTTTAACCCATTGTGCCACTTGGGACTCCTTTTGGAACAATGAGCAGGCTCAACACATGTCAGAAAATTGAAAGGAGCAACAGGAAGAAAGCTGAGCTGACAAAGCCAAACATCACAGGACATCTCTTGACAGAGACCTGAGAAGTCTTAGGGAAGTCTGAAAGTCTTCTTCAAAGTACTTCAGACATTACTTTCTAGCACAGCTCCACCCATCTACCTCGGAGAGACATTAATTTAAATGAGAAGTGGAAGTGTTTAAATTCATCAAGTAGTATTACTGACCTGGCCGGCTGTGTCACAGAGCTGGAGCCTCACTGGTCGGCCATCTACGGACACAACAGCTGAATTGGAAGGAAAGAAAGGGGAAGACAAGTCAAAACTTTAGCCATTCATGAAGCATTGTGTCTTTTCCCATTTACTTTTGAACCAACTCTGATTTAACAGCCCAAAGCTTAAAGTCAGTCTCTTCCTCTTCCATTGCAGGGCCTGCTCACAATCCCTTCCATAGTCCCTTTGGGGCTTTTTCTTAATCCATTTTACCCCAACTGCTGAGTAGCAAGTTTCAAAAAGAGGCACAACAGGAGAGCCGTCCCATCCACCCAAGCTGGGTTTCCCTCCCCACTGCCCCAACCTGCTCCAAGATTGATTTTCTTGTCACGTTTGTGTTTTCAAAGCCCTGGCACAAAGGGAACCCTGCAACCTCTCCTTGTTTTAAATCACACAGAAGACAATGCAAATATTTACATGCTCTCCCTAGGGAAGCTCCTCTTCTTTTTTTCTCTCTCTCTCCTTTTCAATTCTGACTAGAGAATTTATCATTTCAGGGATTTAAAAAAACCCAAGCACGATGCGTAATCGCAGGCAAAACTACTTGGTGCCAACAAGTCTGTTGTTAAGCTCTTTCCATTGTTTAAAGGCACATTTTGAGGCTTGGTTTGGTTCACTTTTCCTTTTCTGGATTTGGGTTAATTTTTTTTCTGGTAGGGCTGTGAATGCCCAGCTTTCCTAGCTTTGTTGCTTCAATTTGCAACGGTGCAGGAAATCTTTGCTTCCCTCCAGCGATTTAAAATCAGCAACATTTGACTATAAAGCAGACCCCCTTGCAGTTTAACAGGCAGCCATAACCTACTCTGGGAAAAACAAATACAGGCTCAAGAGCTGTTCTGTGAAACCAGGCATCTAATGCTAATCACAAACCTTTGAACACCTCTAAGTTCCTCAAAGTATGTACACTAAGGACTAAATTCCCACTGAGCTCTATGAAACTTACTTCCAAATACTGCACGGATCTGATTAGGCTGCATATCACAAGGATAGAAGGCCGTTTAAGGGAGAGAGAGACCACCTCAGAGCCAATGTTGTATAGAAGTTTTGGTATTGGACTGGGGATACATCTAGGTAAAGGTTTCCCCTGGCATTAAGTCTAGTTGTGCCCAACTCTGGAGGGTGGTGCTCAACTTCATTTCTAAGTCGAAGAGCCAGCATTGTCCATAGACACCTCCAAGGTCATGTGGCCAGCATGACTGCTTGGAGTGCCGTTACCTTCCCACAGAAGCGGCACCTATTGATCTACTCACACTTGCATGTTTTCGAATTGCTAGGCTGGCAGAAGCTGGGCCTAATAATAATAATTACAGAGACAACAGAGAGAAAACAACCAGGCACAGATTAACACCTCCCAGCAAGAGATTTTCCCAGGCTCAGGCAGGCCTTCAAATGCTAATGAAGGTGATCAGCTAAACATTCACACCTAACTGCAGCAGGGAAGAGCTCCTAGCCCCACCCCAGCCATTCCACAGATATATAAACCCATTGTCCTAATTCCAACAGACCTCACTACCTCTGAGGATGCTTGCCATAGATGCAGGCGAAATGTCAGGAGAAATGCCTCTAGAACATGGCTCTATAGCCCGAAAAAACCACAAGAACCTAGTGATTCCAGCCATGAAAGCCTTCGACAATACATTATTATTATTATTATTATTTATATCCTGTCACCATCTCCCCAATGGGGACTCGGAGCAGCTTACATGAGGCCAAGCCTAATAGCAGAAGCTCACCCTGGTCCCCACCAGTGCGCCGGAGGATGCATCTACACTGCAGAATTAATGCAGTTTGATACCATTTTAACTGCCATGGCTCAATGCTGTGGGATTATGGGAGCTGTAGTTTGGTAAGGGACCAGCACTATTTAGCACTGAAGATTAAAGACCTTGTAAAACCACAACCTGCTGTGTGGATGCATCCGAGAACTCTGGAGATCACCAACTTGGCCACAGAAATCCTGAGCAAGACATGCTCTCAGGGCCCTTCTACACTGCCATATAATCTAGATGATCAAATCAAATAATCCAGATAATCTGCTTTAAACTGGATTATATGAGTCTATATGATTTTATATGGCAGTGGAGAAACCTCAGAGGAAGGCAATGGCAAAAGCCCTGTGAACAAACGTTGTCAAGAAAACAGCATTAAAAGGTTCATGTCACTTGATGATTTATAGTGGCCTGTGAATTTCACAGTGTTTTCTTAGGTGAGGAATACTCAGAGGTGGTTTTTGCCAGTCCCTTCCTCTGAAATATACCCTACAGCTCCTGGGATTCACTTTAGAGTGACATGATGTGGAAATGACCTCAAAATACACAAGGACAACAAAGACCACCTCGGGTGACTCAAGGATTAAAGACCCTGTTCCTCAAAGTGGGCCTCATTTGACATTACAACAAAGAACAAGCCCCTGCATCTGCCTCTCTTCAGCTCAACTAGGTATTTTCTTTAATGCCTCAGGTATACCTGAATATATGGAAAGCCACACACACAAGCATACTTATTGGCCAACATACATTTTGGTGCCACAAATGTTCAGACTTGTTTTGGAATATGTTTGACCTGCTAAATCCAAAAATGACACCAGTTTTCACCTATCAATAGTTTTTGAGATGCAGAACACATGCCACCTATCAGTCGCCATCTCCTCACCCATAGAAAACCATGATAATTATACCTAAGGGCCCTTCCACACAGCCATATAACCCAGAACATCAAGAAAGATAATCCCACAATACCTAGGTTGTTGTGAGATCTGAATCTATGGAAGGCATCCTCAGAGGTTGTGAGATCAACCTCTGAAGGTGCCTGCCACAGATGCAGGTGAAACATCAGGAGAGAATGCTTCGAGAACATGGCCATACAGCCCCCGGAAAACTCACAACCCAGTAATTCCGGCCATGAAACAATACATCCCACAATATCTGCTTTGAACTGAGTTATCTGAGTCCACACTGCCATATGTTCCAGTTCAAAGCAGAAAATGTGTGATATTATTCAGCTGTGTGGAAGGAGCCTAAGAAACTAGAGCTAATGTGATACATTCAATGCAATTTTCTGATATGAATGTGCCTAATAATGCTGGCACAGTGGGTTAAACCACTGAGCTGCTGAACTTGCTGACCAAAAGGTTGGCGGTTCGAATCCGGGGAGCAGGGTGAGCTCCTGCTGTTAGCCCCAGCTTTTACCAACCTAGCAGTTCAAAACCTAGAGCTAATGTGATACATTCAATGCAATTTTCTGATATGAATATGCCTAATAATGCTGGCACAGTGGGTTAAACCACTGAGCTGCTGAACTTGCTGACCAAAAGGTTGGTGGTTCTAATCCGTGGAGCAGGGTGACCCCCTGCTGTTAGCCCCAGCTTTTACCAAAGCTTGCAAAGCTTCAAAAACTTGCAAATGTGAGTAGATCAATAGGTACCGCTCCAGTGGGAAGGTCATGGTGCTCCATGCAGTCATGCCGGCCAAATGACCTTGGAGGTGTCTACGGACAACGCCAGCTCTTCAGCTTAGAAATGGAGATGAGCACCACCCCACAGAGTCAGACACAACTAGACTTAATGTCAAGGGAAACCTTTACCTTAATTCCAGACATGGGGCTTTAAATGCTTACCAACCATCCTTGAACAATATGAACCCATCTTTTCTGCAAAAAGTGAAGGAAAGCTGAAATCCCTATCGCCCCAAAGCAAAGATAGCAGAAATGATAATGATCCAGCAGCTTCTCACTTATCAATCTCATTAGAAAAATGTGGGGAGACTGACAGGGGTGATTTAATTACAACCATTGATGAGGCAAAGAGCAGAAAGCCATCCATTCATCCATCCACACTTGTTTTCTGTTTACAAAAAAAAATCAATGGAGAGCGACACACACACAGAGAGAGGATGGTGGGGGAAGGGGGCAAGGGAAGGCAAGGCTGGGAAAGGGGCTTAAGTTTTCACCCTTCTAAACCCAACTAAAGGGATAAGGATTATAAGACAAGCCAAGAGGATTTTCCAAGATGAGAGGAAAGTGTGACGTTCTGGGGAAAATAAGGACTAGCATGATCCAAGGGCACGGCGCTCTCAAGATCGGGCCTCTGATCTTGGGACAAATCCAACCTGCTACATGCCCGTGACCTTTAAGAAATGCCTCTGAAAGTTACACTACAAACATCAAACATCTGCCACTGATAGGCTTCAAGAGTAGTAACACACAAGCCATATGCTGATCTCACCACCTTTTAAAGATCCGGGAGATATTCTTTTCAAGCTGGGAAATATTATGACAATAAGGAGTGAATGTTCCAAAAATTTATTTGTTTGTTTACTTTATTTATACCCTGCCTTTCTCACCACTGCAGGGGGGCTCAAGGTGGCCTACACCTCTGGCAAAATTCAATGCCACTTAAAACGTAAGACGTAAAACTGGCTTTAGCCTATAAAGTCCAAAATGGTTCGAGCCCAGGCTACCTGTTTGAACATATCTTCCTCTATGAACCAGCTCGGAGACCAAAGATTGTCTAGGAAGGGCCTGTTTTCAATCCCATCTTCCTCACAAGGGTATCTGGTAGGGGCAAGAGACAGGGCCTTCTCAGTGGTGGCTCCTCTGTTGTGGAATTCCCTCCCTAGCGACATCAGTCAGCCCCCTTCCTATTAGCCTCCAGGAGGAGAGTCAAAACCTGGCTCTGGGAGCAGGCTTTAAATAATAGGGTAGTGCAGTAATGTGGAATTATGTGCAATTGATCATGGAATGGCTTTAGACCTTGAACTCTGGCTGGCATGTTTTAACCTTGAATATATTTTAATCATGTTTATGATGTTGCAATTTTAATCCAAAACATTTTAGGTGCATTTTGTATGTTTTGAGGCACTGTGTAAGTGCCATTTGTAAGCCACCTTGAGTTCCCCCTCAGGGCAGAGAAAGGCATGTATAAATAAGATAAATAAACAAACAAACAAATAAGGTGGGTATAAATAACGTAAACAAACAAACAAACAAATAAGGCGGGCATAAATAAGGTAAATAAGTAAACAAACAAATAAGGTGGGTATAGATAAGGTAAATAAACAAATAAAACCAAACAGTTAAGCGATAAAAACACATAAAATAACAAAATTAAAACTTATGAAGTACATAATCTATTCATCCGTAAACCCTGCTCACAATCCTTATTCAGACTGTGCCAAAACTGTAATGATTTATTCTGCAAACACTTGTGTACAAAGCCATGCCTTAACTTTTTTTTCTGAAAACCAGAAGAGATGAGAGTCTACCTGATGTCATTGGGGAAGGGTTTCCATAACCAGGGGGCCACCACGGAGAAGGCCCCGTCTCTCGTCTCCACTAATCATGCTTGCAAAGGGGGTCAGACTGAGAGCAGGACCTCCACAGCAGATCTTAAAGCTCTGCTAAGTTCAGATAAGTTGGACCAGTACGTTATAGGCCAAGACCAGAACTCTGAATTATGTTTGGTAGCAAACTGGCAGCCAGTGGAGCTGGCGTAACATAGGAGTTGTATGCTGCCTGAACACCAGGCAGCAAGTGCTGGTCTTGGCCTATAAAACTATACAGCTCCAGCCCAGCTTACTTATCCGAACGTATCTCTCTCTACGTTCCACCTTGTAATTTAAGATCTACCCGGGAGGCCCTGTTCTCGGTCCCACCAGCGTCTCAAACGTGTTTGGTGGGGACGAGGGACAGGGCCTTCTCGGTGGTGACCCCCCGCTTGTGAAATTCGCTCCCCAGCGAGATTAGATCGTCGTCCTCCCTCCTTACTTTTAGGAAAAAAACTAAAGACGTGGTTTTGGAGTCAGGCCTTTGGCTAGTGGGCACAGCAGCACTTTAGACACTGACCATTGGATTGTTATGACAATTGGAAATGGCTATATGACTTGTGATTTGTTTTATCTGATTGTGTAATTTTAATTAATATCACTGTTTTAACTGTTATGTAGTAGGATTTTATATTGATGTTATTGATATTGTTGGCATTGAATTATTGCCTGTGTTAGCCGCCATGAGTCCCCCCTCGGGGGGTGAGAAGGGCAGGGTAGAAATGGTATAAATAAATAAATAAAACACCACTCCAGTTGGAAATCTGGATGCCACCTGGTTGGACTAATTGAAGCTTCCGGGACATCTTCAAAGGCAACCCCAAGTAGAGTGTGTTGCAGTAGTCTATACGGTGGAAGAAGCAACATGCATACAATTGCAACATTGGCACTCACTCTCTGATTTGAACCTATTTGGGATACTTCAATGGATAAATATGCTAATTATGCATAAAATAAACAAATCCCAATCTAAACACTGCCTTGCATGTTGCATAGGATTCATCCTATATCATGCCTGGGCAAACTTTGTCCCTCCCTCCAGGTGTTTTGGACTCCAACTCTCACCATTCCTAACAGCCTCAGCCTCAGGGGGGGGGGAAGAAGGGCTGAGGGGGCTGTTAGGAATGATGGGAGTTGGAGTCCAAAACACCTGGAGGGAGGGACAAAGTTTGCCCATGCCTGTTTTACAAGGTCTTTATTTAGCGCCATGCCCACTTTCCCTTCTCCCAGTCTTCCCACCCTCAGTGAGGAATACAACCAAATAATACAAAAGGGGGAAAGCTCCATTCGAGCCAAGCAATTGTCTCCCCACTGCAGAACTAAAACCAAGGGGCACCGCCCCCTTTGGAAAGGGGTTGCAAGCAAAAAGCCCAAGGCAGCCACAAATATTGTCAAACTACAACTCCCAGGATCCCCTATGTCTTGAAACATAGCAATTTTCCTGCTTCTTGGCTGGGGGGTTGGACTGGATGGCCCACAAGGTCTCCCCCAGCTCTATGGTTCTAGTGCAGGTGCACCGAAAGTCAGACCAAAATTGGGGTCTAGGAGGGCTTGCTGGGAGAGAGGAAGGGGGCTCTCTGTTCCCTCCTAGAAGCACAAAAGAAGGGATGGGATTTGGAGGGAGAGAGAAAGCGCATGGCTGCCGACCTCCAACTCTACTTGGGGGTCGCCACGAGGCAGAGGAAAAGAAAGAGGAGGAAGAGAAGAGAAGCCAGAGAGGGGGAAAAGAAAGAGAAAAGAAGGGAGGAGGAAGAAGGAGATGGGGAAGGAGGAGAAAAAAGAGAGAAAGAAAAGGGGAAGGAGAAAGGAAAAGAAAAAGTGAGAGGAGGAAAGGGAGATGTAGAAGGAAAAAGGAAGAGAAAAGTAGGAGTAAGAGGAGGAAAGACGGGAGGAGGAGGAAAGGGGGAAGCAGGAGAAGGAAAAGGGAAGAGAAAATAAATGAAGAGGAGGCGTAGGAGGAGGAGAAGGAGAAGAGGAGAAAAAGAAGGAGAAGGAGGAGAAGGAAAAGGAGAAAGAAAGAAGAGGAGAAGGAGAAGCAGGAGAAGGAGAAAGGAAGGGGAAGGAAGAGGAAAAGGGGAAGAAGAAAGAGGAGAAGGGAAGAGAGGAGGAGGAAAGGGAGAAGCAGAAGGAAAAAGGAAGAGGAAAAAAAGAAAGGAGGAGGAAAGGGGGAAGGAGGATTAAAATGGGAAGCAGGAGAAGAGGGGGGAAGGGAGAGAGGAAAGGGAAGAGAAAAGAAAGGAGGCGGGAGGAGGAGGAGGAGGAGGAAAAGGGAAAGAAGAGCGAGGAGAAGAAGGGAAAGGAGGAAGAAAAAGAGGAGAAAGTGAAGAAAAAAGAAGGGGGAAGGAAGAAGAAAAGAGAAAGAGAGAGAGGAGAAAGAGAGGAGGAAAGGAAGAAGAGAAAGAAAAAGGAAGATAAGAAGGAGGAGGAAAGGCGGAAGAAGAAAGAGAAGAAGGGAAAGGAGGGAAGGAGAAGAAACGCGGACGGAGAAACGAAAAGGAGAAAGAGAAAACGAAGGAAAGAGGAGGAAAAGGAGAAGGAAAAAAGAAGAGAAAAGAAAGGAGAAGGAGGAGGAAAAGGGGAAGAAAGCGGATAAGAAGGGAACGGAGGAGAAAAAAGACGAGAAAAGAGGGAAGGAGACGGAAAGGAAAAGAAGGGGGAAGGAGAAAGGAAAAGAAGGAAAAGGAGGAGAAAGGGAAGAGGAGAGAAGGGGAAAGCGAAGGCAGGCGGGGGAGGGGGAGGAGGCGTGCTCACCTGAGAAATTGTCGAAGGCGGTGGGGATGTACTCGGTGGGGTACCCGTTGGTGGTGTAGCTGACCACCAGGCTGGTCTTGCCCACGGCCCCGTCGCCCACCAGCACGCACTTGAGGCTCCTCCGGGGCTCTGCGCCTCTTGCCCACGGCCCCGTCGCCCACCAGCACGCACTTGAGGCTCCTCCGGGGCTCTGCGCCTCCCCCGCCGGGCCCGCCCCCCGCGCCAGGAGCCCGGCACCGGCTGCCCAAGGCCGCCCCCAGCGCCGCCGCCGCCCGGCTGCTGCGGACCCTGCGCGGGGGCACCGGCGGCACCTCTCCGCCTCCGCCGGGGAGCGGCTTGCTGATGTAGCCGGCTTCTCCTTCCTGCTGCTGCGGCGGCATCCCCTCGGCGAGCCCGCGGGACCACGGGAGGCGCGGGAAGCGAGCCACCAGGAACCGTAGCGGGGAAGCCGCTCTCCTGCCTGCTCGCCCGGCTCCTGCTCCTGCTCCTGCCCCTGCTGCTGCTCCTCTTAGGGCCGCCGAAGCGCTCTGCCGCCGAATGACATAATGATAGCCGAGGAGGCGGGGCGGGAGGGGGCGTGGCCTGCCGGCAGGGGGCGCTCCTCCGCCAGCCGGACACAGCGGCCCTGGCTCCTCCCCGTTGACGGCCATTGGCCGGCCCGCTTCCCTTTCGAACGCTGACGGTCGTTTCTATTGGCTGGCGGGCAGGCGTTCTTTAGGCGGCTTCCAAGCCTTTCCTGCAGGCAACGTGCTCAAAGAACTTCATTTGGTAAGAGACTCGACTGGTTTCTTCGCGGAAGGATGAAAGCGGTATGATACCACTTCGACTGTCCTACGGAATCCTGGGATTTGTAGTTTGCTGAGTTCTCCAGCACTCTTTGGCAGAGGAGGCGAAAGGCTTTGTAAAACTACAACAATGCAGTTTGGCCATGCCCCAGAAGCATTCTCTCCTGACGTTTCACCCACATTTCTATGGCAGGCATCCTCAGAGGTTGAGGGGTCTGTTGGAAACTAGGCAAGTGGGGTTTATATATCTGGAATGGCCAGGGTGGGAGAAAGAACTCTTCTCTGCTTGAGGCAAGTGTGAATGTAGCAATTAGCCCCCTAGATTAGCATTTAATTACCTTGCAGCTTCAAAGCCTGGCTGGTTGCTGCTTGGGGGAATCCTTTGTTGGGAGGTGTTAGCTGGCCCTGATTTATTCTTGTCTGGGATTCCCCTTTTTTTAGTGTTGTTCTTTATTTACTGTCCTGATTGGCAGCAACCAGCCAGGCTTTGAAGCTACAAGGCCATTAAATGCTAATCAAGGTGGCCAATTGCAACATTCACACTTTCTTCCCTCACAAATACACTTTTTATTCCTATCTTACCCAGGGTTTTCACATTTTATCTCATGCATTTGGCCCGCCCTTTGTGTTTTTGTTTTTATTATGTTACTTTGCACTGTTTTATTTATTTTTTATTTTAACTGTTTTATTTATTTTTTATTTTATGTATTGTGTTGTGATGTAATTTTTCAGTTGTTTTGTGTCTAATTTTGCTGTATTATTTTTGGGCTTGGCCTCATATAAGCCGCCCCGAGTCCCATTTGAGAAGATGGTGGCAGGGTATAAATAAAGTTGTTTATTATTATTATTATTATTACCTGAAGCAGACAAGAGTTCTTTCTCCCACCCTGGACATTCCACAGATATATAAAGCCCACTTGTCTAGTTTCCAACAGACCTCACAACCTCTGAGGATGCCTGCCATAGATGTGGGCAAAATGTCAGGAGAGAATGCTTCTGTAACATGGCCATATAGCCCAAAAAACTCACCTCAACCCCGTGATTCCAGTAATGAAAGCCTTCCAACACAGACATAAACTGGACAATGAATAATTTTTTACCACTCACATTTAGCCCGAAATAACTAATTGATTTCAACCATGAAAGCCTTCGACAACACAATGCAGTTTGTTGCAATATAAGTGGACTGGGCCTTAGAGGACATTATTCAACCCTGGAAGAAACTTTACTGATTAGCAACCAAGAAGAATAGATTGTTAATAATTAAGACTAAATATTAATAATCTTCATTATTACTTCTAGTATCATAGTTGGAAAAGGCCACAAGGGCCGTCCAATCCCCAGGCAGGCATTTGTACACATTAATCAAAGCACTATATTGCTATCCCATGTATCCTGTTTTGGAATTCAAAGTGGCTTACAATTTAAAAGGACAATACGAGTAATAATATGTTTAAGAAAAGTGAACATTAAAACAGAATTAAACTATTGACAGTATTAAAAAAAATACAAACCTCTAAATAAAAGAATAGAGTGCAATTTGAAAAAAACCAAACCTTTAAGAAACAATTCGTTATAACTTATTTTATCCCAATATTGGGACTTGAAAGCAACTCATAATTTTTAATAAAACAATACAGTTTAAAACATAATAAATATTTAAAAGAAATGTAAATAGTCTGATTCTGTTTTAATGTTTATTTTTGTAAGTTTCTCCTTGATTAAATTGTTTTGTGTGTTTTTCATTGTTCACTATGGTTAAAATACAACTAAATAAAGTAACAAGCTCTTTAAAACTCTTCAGCTACAGCACCCCCTGGCTTGGTCTTTTGAAAACTTCCTTTTTTAAAAGCCAGCCTGAATGAAAAGGTTTTAGCCTGCCTGTCAAAAAGGCAGCAGGGAGGGGGCATTCTGGCTTCCCTGGGATGAGGGGCAGTCCTCCCTTTCATTCCCACCAGCCTAGCCGAGCCCAGGTGGCGCAATGGGTTAAACCCTTGTGCCGGCAGGACTGCTGACCAAAAGGTTGGTCATTCAAATCCGGAGAGCAGGGTGAACTCCCGTCTGTCAGCTCCAACTTATCATGTGGGAATATGAGAAAAGCCTCCCACAGGATGGTAAAACATCTCAGCGTCCCTTGGTAAATATTTGCAGACAGCCAATTTTCTCACACCAGAAGCGACTTACAGTTTCTCAAGTCGTTTGGGGGGGGGAGCAACAGAGCCTGCGATGGAGGCTGAACCCGAGAGGAACCTTTCCTAAGGATCTCAAGGCCTGGGCAAGTTTACACAGGGAGATGTGATCAACCAAATAGCCTGGATCCAAGCCATGTCGGGCTTTAAAGGTCACAACCAGCGCTTTGAATTGTGCCCGGAAGCCACCTGGCAGTCAGGGGAACTGTCACAACAGGAACATAATATAGTCTTGATAATCTAACAGTGGCAGCTCTGACCAGCTGAAGTTTCCAAACACTCTTCAAAGTCAACCCTGCCAGGTGCTTCGTTTGCGATCCAGATTTGATGTAACTAAGTCATGTTCCTCTGTGGCCAGAGCCAACATCTGAAGAAACTGGCACAGTTGATGCACAAGTTTTAAATATGCAAAAAAAATTCCTGGCCACTACAGAAACCTGGTCTTCCAAGTTAAACATTGTATTTCTGGAGTTGCGTCTTCCATCTAACAAAGGCTGAATCCCTATTCCCAGACCTGCCTTTCGACTGACCAGGAGCACCTCTGTGTCGTCTGGATTAAGTTTCTATTTGTTACATCCAATCTGGATCGCAAACTAAGCACCTGGGGCTGCCTTTGAAGGGTGTTTGCAAACTTCAGCTGGTCAGAGCTGCCACCAGATTGTTTGCCCTCACCCAGTCCATTATTGATGACAGATACTGGTTTAGGACCAAGGCAGTTTACAGCAGTGGTTCTCAACCTTCCTAATGCCACAACTCCTTAATACAGATCCTCATGTTGTGGTGATCCCTAACCATAAAATTATTTTCGTTGCTAATTCATAACAGTAATTTTGCTATTGTTATGAATCGTTATGTAAATATCTGATCTGCAGGATGTATTTTCATTCACTGGACCAAATTTGGCACAGATACCCAATATACCCAAATGGGGTTGAGTGGGGTTGATTTTGTCATTTGGGAGTTGTAGTTGCTGGGATTTATATTTCACCTACAATCAAAGATTATTCTGAACTCCACCAAACTTGACACACAGAATTTCCATGACCAACAGAAAATACTGAAAGGGTTTGGTGGGCATTGACCTTGAGTTTTGGAGTTGTAGTTCACCTACATCCAGAGAGCACTGTAGTCTCAAACAAGGATGGATATGGGCCAAACCTGGCACAAATAGTCAACATGCCCAAATGCGAACACTGGTAGAGTTTGGGGAAAATAGACCTTGACATTTGGGAGTTGTAGTTACTGGGATTTATAGTTCACCTATAATCAAAAAGCAATCTGAACCCTACCAATGATAGAATTGGGCCAAACTTCCCACACAGTACCCCCATGACCAACAGAAAACACTGTTTTCTCTGATGGTCTTTGGTGACCCCTTTGACACCACCTTGCGACCCCCACAGGGGTCCTGACCCCCAGGTTGAGAAACACTGGTTTACAGCAAGTAAAGATACAGTCAAAGTACAATTGTAACTTGGCAAGGGATGGTTATAATCCCTTTGTGTGCAACACAAAGTTTTAGCCCCAATGGTCCACAATTAAAGACACAGCACTGCACTTTCATCCCATGCCCTTGTTCTTTAGCTACAATTTGCTGTAACCCATTCCCTTGTCTTGTTTACAGCCTGGCCACGTTGTCACCATAGGTTATTGGGTGTTGTTCTGAGTTTTAAACTGTTGTATTGATATGCTATATGTTTTACTTTATTGTATTCTATTGTGTGTTTATTTTATGTTCTGTTTAGGCATTTTCTGCCATATGTAACCAGCCCCCCCCCCCCAAGTCCCTTCGGGGAGATGGAGGCGGGGTACAAGAATAAAGCTATTATTATTATTAATATTATTATTATTATTATTATTATTATTATTATTTAATACTAGCCATCCCCCGCCATGTGTTGCTATGTCCCATTCTATGTATATGTATTGTATGTGTATATATTTGTGTATATGTGTATATATGTGGTTTTGCGCAAGCGTTGTAATGGTTTGTTTTGGGGTTTGTTTGTTTTTTTGCTTTTTAATTCTCTTCTGCTGTGTTTTTCAGTGTTTTTATGAGTGATGGTCACTCATTGACCTGAAAGGTGTATTGTGTCCAAATTTGGTATCAATTCGTCAAGTGGTTTTTGAGTTATGTTAATCCCACAAACAAACATGACATTTTTATTTATATAATAGATTCTGTTTAAAGGGGTATGACGTTGAGTGTTGGTGGAAGAATGTCACCTTATTTAAGTACTGTCTCTAGCTGTGCCTTGTATTCAGGTGAGTATTTATCCTTGATCTCATGACTGGGCACCTTTATCGGATGCAAGAATAAGAAATTTTGCAAACAGGAATCTGCTAGGGATTTGCTTGACAAGGAAGGCTGCTGATCTACACACTTTTTCTTGGCAATTGTAGAGCAAGAAAGCCCAAAAGAAGCATTTTCATTGCTACAACATCTATAGGTTGTATGTTCATAGAGCACTGGAATAGAAGCAGGTACAGGTTTTCTTTTGGGATGTAGACAATTCCCGTG